AAATTTGAACTATTTTTATCCTCTGAATTTTTCTTGGGTAGTTTTGAGACATCAAGGCCATATTTACTTTGAAATAGTAATGAGAAAAAGAAATAGCTAGAATATTTAGGTATATAAAATTCTACACATATATTTAAGCAGAGAATTTAGATAAAATGCTCAAATTTCATGTTCATACAAAAAGCAGAAAACTTTTGCAGACCGGATTATAACTCTAATAATTTATTCTGAATAAATTTGCAATTTTTCTTTGTGAAACATAACATGTAGGTTTCAACACTGAATAAATATGCAGGACAGCCAAACATGGGTAAATTTTTTTATGCATAAATTTTTTAAAAACCTTTGCCCTAAAAAGAGATATGGGTTTTTCCTGTTTAAGTTCTTTGTTATTCTTGCATATTTTGATTTTAAGTCAGTATATATGTTCTTAAATGTGGTTACAGTTGACAAGTGGAAACTGAATCAGCCGTTATAAAAACACTTTGCCATTTAGCTCATGCTTGTGTAGCATTCTCTTTTTACGAGGTGATGGCTATGCCAATTTTCATGTGCACCTTAAAAATAAATGAGAAGTTACTAAGGAGTTAATGTTACATCCATTATTTAAACTGCTCTGGAAAGCGTTCCAAGAAAACTCTGTGTTCCAGGATTTGTCAAACTGTTTTCCCAAGAACACCATGATGTGAAGATAAAAAAATCCCATCATCAAATGGAAAGGGTGCTTTATATAACTAACTTTTAAAAATGGTAAGATTTATTAAAATATTAAAATTGCCAAGACAATATTTGTTTACCATCTGCATCAGAATCCTGTGGGATGCTTGTTAACAATGTATATACCTGCTCTTCCAGAATTAATATTCCATGATGTCTGGGGGGAGAGTTCCTGGAGATTTGATTTTTACTGTTTCCCAGGTGATTATAATGTACTTTAAAGGCAGAATGAGAATCTACAATAAATAAACTTACTGTTTAACTCAAAAGTTCAGAAACAAATTTGCTTACGGGATAGTTTTTTCTTAAGAACCTGTGAAACTAGTATTCCTTTGATACATTTTGGAAATGTTGCATATTTTCTAATATTTATGTTATTAAATTATGAAAGTACCAATGGTATTTTCCAAAAGTTTTAGTATGTAGCCATTGTAAACATTTTATTTTATTTTATTATTTTTTTAATGTTTATTTATTGAGAGACGGAGAGTGCAAGTGGGGGAGGGGCAGAGAGAGAAGGAAAAACGAAGCCCAAGCAGGCTCCTTGTTGCCAGCACAGAGCCCGAAGTGGGCTTCGATCTCTCAAACCATGAGATCATGACCTCAGCCGAAATCAAGAGTGGGACGCTTAACCCACTGAACCACCCAGGCACCCCATGTGAACATTATTTTTAAAAACATGTTATAAAGAAGAAATTTCGGCCACAACATCAAAAAGAAGAAATAGTAAGGGCCTACATTTCAGGGTTTTCATATTTCTTTCTTTGGATCTATCAGAACTCTTCTTTCAAATGCAGTCTTACCAGGAAATTAAAAAAAAATGAATATCACTTAAAAAAAGAAAACAATATCTATCTGAACAGAATATTTCCTCCAAAAGTCACCCTGGGTCAGGACACCATGGCGCACAGCCTGGAGACCTAAGCTCTACGTCATACCAACCGAGGACACCCACAATCCGGCAAGGTAACCTTTATTTTAATGAACTTCTAAGAAAAAGAAAACAAAGGAATTAAATTCTACAGACTGAGCCAGCCAGACACCCCACTTGGTGAGATGTTTACACACAATGTTTACTGATTCTGAACTGAACCTGAGTGCTGAAACCCACAGAAATGGGACACTTTGTGATAGACTTCAAAGGTTTCCTCCTTTTAGATCTAAGAGGAAATTGGTTTGTACATCAATTTAATTACAACTCTTTTTTGAAACAATGGTGAGATCACAGGACTAGGGAAGGATGAAGGCACCTGATTAGTTAAGATGAATTTGGAAACTTTTTAGCAATTTCATCATGATATCAGACACTAGGTCATTGTCTTGAGTGTTGTACTTTGTGCGTGTGTGTGTGTGTGTGTGTGTGCGCGCACGTTTATTTTTGAGAGGCAGAGCATGAGTGGAGGAGCGGCAGAGAGAGGAGGACAGAGGATCCAAAACAGGCTCTGCTCCCACAGCAGCAAGCCCGATATGGGGCTTGAACTCATGAAATGTGAGATCGTGCCATGAGCCGAAGTCAGACACTCAACAGGCTGAGCCACTCAGGATCCCCTGAGTGTCCTACTTCTTTTGCATCCTGTGTTTACATCATGCAGTCAAGTTAGAATTTGTTAAAAATCGGTAATTTTGCAATTATATAAACAAATAAAATAAATGGTACCCACAATCCCCCATTTGGAGCAGTCATTTTTAGCATATTATAGTTTCTTCCTATTTTATGTCAATGCATTTTACATTGTTGAAATTACACTAAGTAATTACATATCATAATATATACATATAATTTAAATTTTATTATTTACTATTTCCTTATAGTCATTAAGAAATTGTATACCCATTCATTTCATAAATGAATTATATTCCAGTCCAAGAGTATACTGAAATCCTCTACTGAAATATACAGAAATCCTCTACTGAAATATACAGAAATCCTCTACTGTTGAACATAGAAGATATTTCCATTTCCCATAATTGTTAAGTGATACTTCAGGGAATGTCTTTACACATTTTTCAATTATCTTAAGATAAGAAGTGGAAGGTATAAAAAGTCTTATATGAGTTTCAAAGCTCATAGAAAATATTTTCAAGTTGAGTTTCAGAATAGTTTATGAAATTTGACTTCCATCATAAATAAACAAAGGTGATCAATTACCATATCTGTGCAATGTTTGAACAGAACTATTTGTAAAATCCTTCTTTAATTTCATAGGTTAAAATTTATGACATTGTTTTAATTCTGCATGATTATATGTCGTGTGAATATGTTCAAACCAAATAAGAAGAAATAAAATAGAGCAAATAACAAATACTCTCCCATTATCACCTTTAATATATCCCAGGCAAGTATTTCAAGATTTTTTAGAAGATGACACAGTGTCAAAGGGGTAAAATTCCTCAGAAGTTAAGAAATGTAGAATACTACAAGTACATACTTGTCAAGCTATACTCTCAAAATTAGTTCAATAAAATGACTTGAATTGAAAGCAGTCCTTTGTAGACCTCAAACTATCTAATCATAACACAAGTAACATCTCATAGACCCTTATTTGCTTCTAGGAACCAAGATTCATAGAAATGTACAGACTTCAGGTTCTCTTAGGTATATCTTATCATTTATATACATGCTGAAGAATTAGAAAGACTTTTCTTTATCGTCTTATGATTTTTATTGTTAATATTACTATTCCTTGCCAGGGCACCTGGGTGGCTCAGTCGGTTGAGCGTCCGACTTCAGCTCAGGCCATGATCTCACAGTCTGTGAGTTTGAGCCCTGAGTCAGGCTCTGTGATGACAGCTCAGAACCTGGAGCCTGCTTTGGATTCTGTGTCTCCCTCTCTCTCTGTCCTTCCCCTGCTCATGCTCTGTCTCTCTCTGTCTCAAAAATAAATAAAAACATTAAAAAAAATATTAACTATTCCTTGCCAAGCTTTTTGAGGTATTATTTGCTTATCTCTTAAATATCATATTAAAGAGAACTATTAAACTCTTAGCCAAGTTTGAATATGAGCCAATTTAGGTATCCAATTCTAACAGTGGCAGTAAGATTCTTCAGTAGTTGCCAATGCTTAATTTCTGTTTTGTGGACAATGACTGTGTCTGCATCTTTCAAAGCCTGAGGTGTTTCAAATGACTAAAAAGATAGGATCACAGGGGTGCCTGGGTGGCCTAGTCTGTTAAGCATCCGACTTCGGTCATGATCTCACCATTTGTGGGTTTCAGCCCTGCATCAGGCACTGTGCTCCAGATTCTGTGTCTCCCTCTCTTTCTGCCCCTCCCCTGCTCACACTCTGTGTCTTACTCTCTCAGAAATAAATAAACATTACAAAGAAACTTTAAAAAGATGGAATCACTATCTCATATTTTATCTTGAATAATACAGAAGCTTGTCATAAGACTTGAGGAGGTCAGCACTCTTACCAGAACTGGCGTCTTCCATGCTACCAGGTCTGACACATTTCTCTATATTTTTGCATTGTGCTCTTACTGTTCATTTATATTCATTATTTAGAAGCTCTTTTACTGATATCTGGATATTCCTTCTAAACCCTCTTATCAGTGATGAAGCACATTGAGTTCCAAATAAGCATAAATGTTTGTATCTTTGCACACAGTAGGAACACTGTTGAATTTTACTTTGAGAAATTATGGAGGAAGTGGTTCATTCTACATATAACAGATTTCCTTATACACAATATAAGGAAACTCATGTCTATGCAATCTTTGTTTGCCTATAGGAAGAATGGAAAAGTCGTTGAATGGAGTAGGCTTCTCATCTCCCTTTGTACTCTGGTACTGAGGACAGAGCTGAAAAGCCACCTGGTTGAATTGCAACTGAAGAATGATTCTTGGTAACTGTTACACCACAAAAAAACACTGCATTTGTTTACAAATGGATGCTACATCCTTATGCTTCCTGCCTTCCACAAAAACAGTAAGAGTTTTATCAACCCATATGAAATAAGAAATGAGATTAATCTTGGGATCAACTTTTTCCCTCCCTCTAGGTAAGTCCACCGAGAAATGATACGAAGCATCCAAGGGACCATAAAGTTTACCACATTTGGCAAGCATCTTAAAAGAAAAAAACAGTGCCCAACTTATTATAAAAAGGGAGAAAAAGCATTTCCTCTATAGAAAGAGTTACATGGACTGCTCTAAAGTTTTGCAGAAAACAGACTCATCTTAATATGTACTGAGATAGAATGAAGTAAAATTCGGAAGTACCTGAAGGGCATCCTGATATTCAGCCTCTCTGCATACTTGCACAGCGTGTCCCATGGAATATGAATTTTAATAAACATGATATCAGGGTTTGCAACAGCTGGCTGCAAAGGATAGAAAGACAGGCACCATTATTTAGAATCAGAGCTGATGATACCATGCCACAATTTGATTTGAAAGGAAGAAACACCATCACCTTGTCTCCACATAAACCGTTGTCACTGATTTAAAGGGGATTTATATGAATAACAATTCTCAATACAGCAACACCTTCATAAAAATGTAATAATGCCATTGCATGCATACAAGAAATAGTCACCTATGTGAGTTAGTGCATTTTCTTATATTGACTGTTATCAAGATCCAGAATACCCAATCAGAAAAGTCTTGAGCCAGTCAGGGATATGAAGGTAGTCTTATTGCAAACTTTATCATGATCCTACTCAGAGGGAATAAAAACCACTGACAGTTGCCACCAGTCATTCATTAATTCATTCACTTATTCTTCTGGCATATTTTATTGAGTCGCTAAATCCTGGGAAAAATGGAATATAAATCATGCAAGTCCATGACCTTAGAGAGCTGTCAAATTTGCACACTTACTTTAACCTTTTAATCCATAGAAATTTGGGTGCCTTTGATTCAGACAAAAGTTTTTTTTAATATTTTTTAAATTTTTATTTATTTATTTTGAGAGACACACAGAGAGAGAGAGAGAGAGAAAAGGGCAGGGAGAGAGGAGAGAGTGAGACAATCCCAAGAAGGCTCCACATTGTCAGTGCAGAGTCTGACACGGGGCTTGAACTCATGAACTGTGAGATTATGACCTGAGCTGAAATAAAGAGTCAGATGCTCAACCGACAGAGCCACCCAGGTGCCTCCAGACAAAATTTTTTAATGTTTATTTATTTTTGAGAGAGAGAGAGCACGAGTGGGCAAGAGGTAGGGACAGAGGGAAACAGAATCTGAAGTAGGTTCCAGGATCTGAGCTATGACCTGAGCAGAAACCAAGAGTCCAAGGCTTAACTGACTGAGCCCCAAGCGCCCCTGGTTAATGTTGTTTATTTAAATTTCATCTAGATGGGGCACCTGAGTGGCTCAGTTAGTTAAGCATCAGACTTGGGCTCAGATTCCTGAGTTCAAGCCCCAGGTTGGGCTCTGTGCTGACAGCTCAGAGCCTGGAGCCTGCTTTGGATTCTGTGTCTCCCTCTCTGCCCCTCTCCCACTCACTCTTTGTCTCTCAAAAATAAATAAACGTTAAAAATTTTTTTTAGGGGCGCCTGGGTGGCGCAGTCGGTTAAGCGTCCGACTTCAGCCAGGTCACGATCTCGCGCTCTGTGAGTTCGAGCCCCGCGTCAGGCTCTGGGCTGATGGCTCAGAGCCTGGAGCCTGTTTCCGATTCTGTGTCTCCCTCTCTCTCTGCCCCTCCCCCGTTCATGCTCTGTCTCTCTCTGTCCCCAAAATAATAAACGTTAAAAAAAAAAAATTAAAAAAAAAAAAATTAAAAAAAAAATTTTTTTAAATAAATGAAAGTAAATAAATTTTATCTAGATGGAACTTCTCAAGAAACATAACAATCTTAAAATCTCAAAAGCATAGAAGAAATTTATCAGTTTAATTTAAAATCATATATATTTTATAATTAAACTAATGTTTCATATCCATACATTCATGAAGCCCTATGTTTTAGATGTGGCTAATTTCACAAGTTTGCCCAAACAATATTTCAAATGAGTATTACCAATATTAATACAAATAATAATACAAAAAGTATTATTAGAGAGCCATGGGATAATCATCAGACTAATACTCATATGTAGGGCATCATTGCCATTGGGCAGACACTTTTACACACCAGCATTTGCCAAAGTTTATTGTTCTATGGAGTACTATAAAAAAAGAGGCAGGGTATTTCATGGCCACAAAAATTTAGAGTTTCTCCCTGGAGGACTTTTGACAAACTTTAATATGCATATACTTGCTAAAAATATCCAAGATGGTGAAAAATAAACTAAATTTCCAAAATTTTGGAACATGGATTATTTTTTCCCTGATAGCTTATTGAAGTATTTCTATTTTGCTTACAAATCATCAAGGGAAAAATAGTAAAAGATCCTTGCCCTTAAGTACAGTTTCCAAAGGCTTTTCTTACTTAAAATATGTTTGTTTTAAATATTAGGTAAAGAATGATGGGAATAAAATGGACAATGACAGAAGGAGACATAGTATGTGTCAAATATCAACAGGCCTTTGAATTCAGACCAAGGTCATACACATTAGCTCTGCTTGGGAAAATAATGTGTAGAATTTTTTAAAATGAGTATTAATTTGGGGCACCTGGGTGGGTCAGTCAGTTAAGCCTGTGTGTTAGGCTCAGGTCATGATCTCACGGTTCTTGAGTTTGCACCCTGCATCAGATGCTGTGCTAACAGCCTGCAGTCTGGAGCCTTCTTCAGATTTTGTGTCTCCCTCTCTCTCTGCCCCTCCCCTGTTTGTGCTGTGTGTCTCTCTCAAAAATAAATGAACATAAAATTTTTTTAAAGTGAGCATTAATTTATTCAAACAACTATTTGTTTAAAATATGTATTTTTTTACCCAGCTAGAAAGAGAAAGGAGAACGATTATGATGTTATCTCTAGGTTCTTTTTAGTGACTATTCCAGACTTGGTTGAAAGGTTTCTGTGCAGAAGTGATAGAATCAAGAAAATCTAAGACAGAAAAAGCATAGGCATTTAAATGACTCTTTCATTGAGGCAAGTGAAGAAAGAATTTCATGTTTTATTATAGTTTTTCCTGCTTAAGCCATACAAAAGTTCTTATATTCAAAAGATTCTTCTTTTAAAATTATGGTGTTGGCCACTGGTGTTATATCAACTTGCCTTTCACTTACCAAGCACAATTTAAATTTCTTCAATCCTAATTGCCCACTTAGAAGAAATTACATGGTATGGTAGACAGAACATAGTGTTTGGAATCACAAAGACTTAAGTACAAATTCCATCTTTACCATTTACTTTACTCTGTGAGCTTGAGAAAATTACCTAACCTCTATGATTCTATTTTCTCTCCTGACAAAGGGAGACGATGATCTTAACTCACAGAGCTGGTGTGAGTGTTATGAAAGACCAGACATAGAAAGTACCCAAGTATAACAGGTTATCTGTTCATTTCCTGTCGAGGTCAGGCTTCTTATATCAGACCCTAACCAAACTAATGGATAATTTCAAAACTTCACTAGAATCTTTGTCCAGCACTCTCTTTTTCTTTTTTCTTATAAAACACTATCAGATTCATCTTTACCCTTTGGTTTTGTAAGCCTTCAAAAACAGGACTTTCAATTATACAAGTACAAAACCAGTAACCTGTAATTTGGGGAAAACTCTAAAGCAGAGTGACTTGGATCAAGTTACTGAAGAATTAAATATTTTTTGGATAATATCAACTGGGTATAAATTGTAATAAAACTGTATTTCTGTAGACTATAATCTCTTTGGAAGACATCTCTTCCTTTATATATATTTAAATTGTCCTACACCTGTATGTTACTGCTTTTTCCTTGGGAGAAGTGGGTTGTTTTTCAGCATTTTCCTCAGAATCTGGAAGTGAGGCCTCCATGAAAATGAATGAGTCAGAAAAAAACAATCTATACAAGACTGACACATTCTACGTGTAGAATGGTTTAAGACTGAATAAAGAAGCCTGTGAGAAATGCACTGCTATTTGATCATTGCATTCCCTCCAGTGTTTCCATGTGAATTTGAAAGCAGGGGTCTCTATTGTTGAACAGACAGCTCCTGGGACCAAAAAAAAAAGTTTTTCAGGAGCTAGTGTTTATTCTGGTACAAATGGAGATCTCATTCTCCTTCAGAGCATCATGGTCCCTGAAGCCTAGGTATGTTGGTTGCCAGAATAGAGTCACAGCATGAAGAACGTGTGAGTGACATATGTGTTGGGAGAGGTCTTAGAGGGTTTAACCTCCACAGCAGGAGAGCTTGGGTTTCATACTACCAGATGGTTCCTGATCTGTTTTACCTTACAGAATATACAGCCAGAGTCTGATCACTCTCCACTTCTCTATAGCGCCCACCCTGGTCTATGCCATCATCATCTCTGGCCTGGACTCCTGTAGTGCTGTCCAACAGAGCCTTTGCTCACACATTCTTGCCCCCAATAATCTACTCGTAGCATAATGGCCGGAGTGCTCTGTAAAATGTAACTCAGATCATGTAACTATTTCATTCAGAGTGAAAGCCAAAGTGTTGTCAGTGACCTACACAGCCCTTTAGAGTCGCACACTCAGTATCTTGCTCACCACCCTCTCCTACTACTTTCCCCCTCACTAACTCTACTGCTCTCATTTGGTCACTCGCTATGACTTGCCTGTCCTTGCCTCATCCTTCTTACCTTGTCTAATCTCTTCCCTACAGTATTTATTATCTCCTAATAGCGAGTCTTTTTTTTAATGTAAGTGCCATATAAGAAGGGATCTTCGTTTTATTTATTTATGTATACCAAGCATCTAGTTCTATGCTGGGCACACAGTAGTCACTCACTAAGCATTTGTTGAATGGATGAATGAGTGAGTTAACTTATTTTGAGTGCACCTTCTATGTAACTTGTACCTAACCCAGAGATGATAGAAACAGAGTGCAAATAAGCCAGAATTATTCTGGAAGCGGTGCTATGTCAAAATTCAAATTAGCATCATGAAGAGCTGGCATAGCACTGATTATTAATTCATTCCTGTCAACCTTTAAGATGTGAAAAAGCCTAATACACTTAAATAAAGGAGATGCTTTAGAGGGATGTTTCTGCATTAACTCTACCATCAATGAGGGAAATGTCAAGCTAAGTGCACATACAGCTAGAACATTTCTAATTTTGTATGTATTAACTTTAAATATATATAGATCTTTCTCAAGCAGCGTGAACTGTCTTCTTTTATAACTTCCTCAAATTAATTTCTCTTTTGTTATACCTCTACTTAAAACAAAATAAAAGTAGTTCATTTTCTTGCAGCTACTGAGCAGGGGGTTGGTGAAGGGATGGTGTTGCCAGGGAGAAGGGTTACTTTCTCCCTTGGAGTCCAAAGCTCCCAATCTGG